TAAAACGATAAAAACACTGCTGAAGGTTAATCCATAGGTTAATCCAATGTGTCTGTGTCACTTTGAAATGATTACTGATAATCCATCATTCCATTTTTATGTCAATAACGGAGATTTAATATTAGCTGCTACGATAGCTACTAGAGCAGGCATGGGCAAACTAAAGCCCGCGCCATATACGGCCCGTTGGGCTTTTGAATCCGGCCCGCCGACTATTGGTACAAAATTGTCCAAATTATAGTAAAGACCGCATTCATTTTTGCCTTTTTCCTGCAATACCCGGCATTTCAGTTGATCCCACTAGATGGCGCACTCTAGACACAATTTACCTTTGCTGGAGTCTGGTCTATTCTCTCAGCTGGCCCCACTCTGCAACCCGGCAAGATCCAAGAACCAAATACGTCACGCTTACATTGGAGGGGGTCGATATTAACCTGAGCAATAACAGTTCATGGCAAGTACGGCGAATACAAGTTGTAACAAGCAGTAGCGCTGAGCAAAGTGACTAGAACGCGACCACACACTTATAAAAAACACTTATATAAAGTCAGGCAACACTAACAAGGCTTAGTGTGATTCTGTTTATTTTACCTTACTTTAATAACCATCCGTTCACTGTTATTGACCATTGTGAAGAGGCAGACGTTTTCCTTTTGTTTTGTATTATTGCAGCTATCGGATGGAATCAATACATGGGCGACATGTGGCCATCACAAGTAAAATCATAACGAAAACTACGCCGGTAAAATATGCGTGTAGAAAACGGCTTATGCCACAATATGATAGCAACAAGTAGTCAAGATAGTCTGATTAGCTAACATCACCTGTAGAATGCCAGAGAAACTTTCATAACAGCGTTGTGATGCCAAACAGCTTTCAGACTAAAACACATTCACTTATGGGGATGGGGGATATTTATCAGCTGCTTGTGTGACAGTCAGACAATGAAAACTTTACAGCGGCCGCTGCCGCGAGTTAACGGGAGAATAAACTCCGGTAGACGAGCAGCACTGCAGCAGGCAGTAATGCAGCTGAACCACATTAATAAACAATGCACCACGGCACTCTGGAGAAAGGTACAAGGTTGGAGAAGTAGTTTAATAATTTAGTCATTTAATCTGGCTTCGTATAATTAAAAACCACCCCGACGCAGTCCTCTATTGATGTTGTTGTGAGCGGTGTTGCGGAGAAAATCAGCGACGTAAAACGCTGTGTGGGTCATAAGAAGGCACGTAAACGGTTACGTCATGACGCAAACGATGACGCAATAACGCAATAATTCACCTTTGAACCTGCATCTGTAACAATGAGTGGACCAAAGAAAAGAAAAGTCAACATTGAGTGCCGAGTGTATAATGAGGAGTGGACAGCTAAATATTTTTTTACCGATCTGCTACTGTTAGAAATTAAAATCAATGTTGATGTGGCGTAATTTGAATGAAATACACTGTATTTCATTTAAATCTGTTTTATTCTGAAAACCGAAGATTCACAAGTGACTTCCGGTTTTCCGCTGGTGAATTTCGTCATTTCCGGTTAGCATTAGCTTGTGGCGAAATGCTACGTTTTCAAACCGTGAATTGAAGGTGAAATAACATGATGTTGTACACTAAACACCCTGGGTTTAACACTCATTTATTGACGCTGGAATGAGGTTTATTAGGGAATGTTTAGATGACCACAGACATCAGAGTGATGTAATTCAGCAGCAGAAACCGACAGGATTTGCATTGGACACGCCCCCGTCGACGCCGGCCAATAGGAGAAGACTACAGATGTTACCCGGGAGACCCAAGAAGGATCTCTCTCTTACCCCCCAGCTGACCCAGCGCGGACGGGACCAAACAGCTGGCAGGGGGAAACCACCAACGAGCACATTTCATTTGTATACCACCGCATCTTTTGTGTAATTAAATGCTGTTAACATTTATAAGCTTGCCTTGACTCTTTTCAGTCTCTCCTGCTCTCGGGGTTCAAGAACCACTAACACTACTGGCCCCCGAGCCAAAAAGTTTGCCCACCCCTGTACTAGAGTGTATGACAGCTTCCGGTTCCGGGGCATTCTGGCTACGCATCACTCATTCACCAATGGGTAATGTTTAGATGGATTTTAGGAACTTCCCCTCGATTCTATTGGCTCTAACGGTTAAAAAGAGGTGTCAATCATCAAAATCGACCGACGGGGGCCAGAGATATGGAAAATGCACCCAAATGACCCCAGAAGTGATCAATCTTGATACAGGGTACTTATTATATATTATAGTTTGGATTCCTAAAGCTTTTAGTCTACTATCCCATTATTCAAGAGTGGTTTTCACTATAAGTAATGTTTTTTTTTTGGACGGACACTTTAATTTACATTTTTTTACTATGTTCAATCTGAATTTACTTTAAAATAAAAAAAATCTATATTGATTCTGACTTTTCTACATCCAACTCACAGGTTTATCATTGCTTTGAGAAAAAAGATTATTAATTTACCCCTTTTAGAAGTGAAGATATAGTCAATTGTTCTGGGAATGTCATTTTCGAGCCTGAGGCCTGAAAAACAGTCTCAGGGCTTAAGAGGTTTAAACGATCTCAGAACACAGCAACCGGCCTGGAGGATTCAAGCAACACTGTTAGAAATATCGCAACACAACTCCTCATACGAATATTATAGCAAGAGATTAAACTTAATTTTACTACCACAGACACACATAGGGGATATTACTATAAGTAAATGCTGTATAAGGTCACTAAACTGGCACTGTAAAATACTACTATAGGATTATGATGAAAATAATGTAGCACTGAGGTTGACAGCAGCACAGCCGAAACAGATTGATAATCGCATTTAAGTACAGAGACAACACTAGTGTTATTAGCTGGTTATTCCATAGGGAGGCTCCTGTACAGCTACAATTGGTTTTAACGAGCAAACGGCGTTTTTGAATGAAAGTACAAAATGTATCATACTGACAAGAGTGGTTGAAACCCTGCTCTTTAATAGAACCAGCCGAGGTTCTCACAGCTGACCTGGAAACTGTGCACCTCGAAGCGGGCATCACGGTTTAATCTACCGCTGGCGTCCCCCTTTACACAGACGTGACTGACACGACGCAAACAAACACAGACGGTGTGCACGTGAGGCTGACACACACACACACACACACACACTTAGGCCTGTGTAATAAGCATGTATACACGCACACACTCCTCGGACTGCTAGCTAACTTCGCATACTCACTGCGGCTGTGTGTACTGTGCTGCCCGCTGATTGTGAAATAAGCTCTGTGTGAAGAAGGCCAGTCACATCTCCTCTCCGGCTATTCTGCCGCTGTCAAGTGGCGGGATTTGTCTACCGTAGCCCAACAAACGGTCAGCTGGGATGAGACGCTCTCTATCGGGGCTTGTCTTCCTGCCTCGTATCTGTCTCGCTGTCTCCTGTCTCTCTCTCCTGTCTCTCTTTCCCTCCTTTCCGTCTGTGCCCGCTCCTCCACTGGTGGCTTCCCCACTGCTCGGGCGCTCCCGTGACGTCACGACGGTGGAGTGCGCGCCCCCGAGACGTTTCCCACCCCTCCTTGTCTCTCCAAGAGTACATGGTAAATCCTAATTCTCCAATAAATCACAATTTAACGAGGAAGGTAACTAACATTTTGGAATATAATTCGTTATATTTATAAAATCTTATCAAATATATCACACGTGTCTGAAAAAAAGATGATTATATTTTTTAAATATTTGGCATCCTTCTTAAGAGGAGGCATCTCAGTGAGAATTGTGTGTTTTTTATAATAAAAATGTATGACATCATTTATTCTTATAAGTATTATATAATTATTCTACAGTACCTTGTTTTCCACATTGTTTCCTGTTTATAGTCGCTTATATTTGAGTTTTAAAATATGATTTCATATTATATTAATTAATATGTTATCATCTCATGTTGATAGCTAGTTTTAATTGTATATAACTGAAATGTGTTAGATAGCATCATTAGCTAACTAGACCACATACTAAAAATACAAAATGTTAGTAAATACTGCATTGAAAATGTTACTAAAGGGAAATTATGTATTATTCACTAAATGTATTTTAAGTACATTGTAAGTACCCCTCTGACTTACTGATTGATATGTAAGCAGCATTTTGTTCTAACATCACTAGGAGGAAAATATGGGTTAATGTGATTAGATCAAAGTGTGCTATAACGGTATGTTCATTATTAATGTATCTATTTTATTTCCTTACACATCTTTATAATGTGATGCTTATTAGGGTTTTCTTCTGCACCCCCACACACACACTCACACACACACACACTCACAAACACACACACACACACACACACACACACACACACACACACACACACACACACACACACACACACACACACACACACACACACACACACACACACACACACACACACACACACACACGCACACACACGCACTTACAGACACAGTGTCCCAGTTCCCAGGGCGCCAGTCAGACAGCTGAAGTATAAATAGTCTGCTGGCTAAAGTTCCCCTGGAGAGAAACCCTCCAGGAGTGGTGGACCAGCGCTCCCTTCTGAAATGTGTCAGCTAACTGGATAAGTTACAACTTTTACTGCTCTATTCCATGTATGTCACTATTATAAACAAAGACTCTATATGGCCCCATTTTGTGATCATCAAAAACACATATACCCCCCAAAAAAGGTCTGGAAGCTAATCTTAATGAAATACACTTTTATTCAGCAGTATTAAATGCATGGTTCACACATATCAAATTATTTAAGCTCATCTATCAGATATTTTGCAGCAAAGCATGACACTTTTCTTGGCCTTCGAAAAAAGACATAAAAAGACAACAGACAAACTGTACAGCCTTTGACCCCTAACCCATCACAGCCCCCCTGCTTCCACTCCCACTGCTATTTATTTAATTTTTACTTTATTATTTGCCCTACTTGTTTCTTTGTTTTTTTGTTTGTTCACAGCATGTAAAGCAGCCTTGGGTCCCTTGAAAGGCGCTATATAAATGTAATCTATTATTATTATTATTATTATTATTAATAAACTTTGTAAAATTAATTGATAAACCTTTAGGTCTATTCAATGACAAAACACCTTAAAAAATGTACATTTCAATTTCATAAAGCCCTACTTAAGTATTTAGGTAGCTTGTAGCTTGGAACTGTTTTGACCAAGTTTAAATAAAAAACAAAGATATTAAGTACCATCAAATAAGCATGAGAAAAACTAGAGTTACAGTACACAGAACACAGAAATCATTTAGTACCAAGACCATACGTGCATACAATAAGGATGCATGCAGAAATGTCTCAGAAGGTGTGTGTTAGTGTGTACTCTGAACCAGGTTTAGAAACCTAGGAAGCTGTCTTACATTTTGAATGTAAACTCATTGAAAATCTGATAAAACGGTCTTCTGTAAAGCTCAATTGATAAAGCTCCCCAAGTCCCCAAGCGGAGGACCTTGGTTTGAGTTCGACTCAGGACCATTTTCCACATGTCATCCCCTCTGTCCCCCTGTTTTAACTCTGTCTCTACAATAAATACTGCCCATAGAATAGCTATTCTTGTTAAATTTGCGAGTAAGAGGGAAGGAGTAGAACTTGTAATTTTTCACATCCCAAATGTCATGTTTAGCAGTTTAATATAATATGCATTGTTCAGGTCACTCCCAGTGCAGTGTCTAACCACTTCATGATGTATTTGGGCTGACTTGAACTTATTCAGCACTGAAATGCCTAGCTTATTATACAATGCTGTCGTTTGGTTTTGAGTTACGTGTCATTAGTGGTTTGGCTTAGTTCCACAGGCAGACATAATATTTTGTCTCCATAAAAGGGCCGTGATATGACAAATGATAATGACAGTTTTACACTGATTTACACGTATTTAACTGAGTAGCAACCCATTAGAAGTAATTTCAACAAGACGAGCTTGTAGCTTGGAACTGTTTTGACCAAATTTAAATTAAAAACAAAGATATCAAGTACTATCAAATAAGCCTGAGAAAAAAGCAAATATTAATTTAAACAAAATACTAGAAACCAAAGGATATTTGTTTACATTGTCTTAAATGGTTTTGAGATGAAATAAAGTTCCTATAAGCATTGTCCCCATATTTCCTAACAGTAGCGTCTCTGAGAAACAGATCAGAACACTGGTTAAACAATGGTGTCATCTCCTGGTCATATGGGAGTATTGCAACATGAATGTGAATAAACTCTACCCCTGATCTACTGTACTATCTTCTACCAGTCTCCCTGATTTAAAATGAACCTCATAAGTAATTGTCAGGTCTTAAGAAATCTGCTTTGATCAGATTCAATCTCAATGTAGAAAGAGCTATGAATAAAAAAAATTATAATTTCTAAATTGACTTCTTCCATAACTGCTGAACTTAGCAGTTACACATTCATTTCCCCAGTTTTTAGGGCTTTATGGTACTTGTAACTTGTAATCTTAAATTGCATGGGCTACAGGAGTGATAAGAAGCATGGTGTCAGAATTCCCTTCATTACTGAAAGCCCCCAAAAAAGGGTAGAGCTTTGGTCTGTTACCAAAGGATATGCCTGCAATATAATAGAAAAAAGACTTGACTGCTGACGGGGTCTCAATGAAGGCACATCCTGAGTAGGAGTAGATCAGAGTCCTGGCGTCCACGTCGTAGAAGGACACCTCGCCCTTCTCGTAATCGACAAACACTCCAACCTTCTGGGGCCTTTGCCTCAGGGACAGGGGAGAACGGCTACAAGTGCCTGGGAAATATTCATCTTGGGATTGGGATTTTGTATTGTTGAGTTTTAAGAATGTCCAGCCTCCCTGCTCCGGGTTAGGGAAATGTGATACAAACTTGCCGATGGACTTTTTGACCACTCCCAATACCCAACATCCAGTCCCACCGACCTGAACTTCGTAGTAGAACCTGCCAGAGGAGAAGCCCTCAGTCCCAAGGATAAAGGGTTGATACTGAAATCCTTTCTGAGGAGAGAAAGGATCTGGAGGTGGTAGGCCTTCATCAAACCTCAGTTGTTTCCCATCCTCAGAGACTACAAGTTTGGTGTAGGCTGTGTGGGCGTCCAGAGTCACATCGACTGCATCGTTCTGCTGGATCATCATCAGCTTGTCCTTGGGGGGGTTCCACACCTCTTCATAGAAATCATCTCTCCTTATTTCTTCAGCTGCAGGGCCTTCCCAGTCATTGCTTAAGCGTGCCTCATGACTTATCATCTCCATCTGATGCCTGAGAAGACTTCCCATCTTAGCCACTGCTTCTTTCACCATCCCCACAGAACTCTGCTGACTGAAGTCAGAGAGGTCTATTGGCATGTTGGATTGGACCAGATTTTTGTATATGCAGAGAGTTGAACAGCTCTGCAGGAAGCTGAGGTGGTCCTCTGTTTGTAAAAGTTCTTCACACTCAGATCTTCTCCTCCTCAGCTCAGAGACTTCCTGCTCCAGCTCCGTCACCACGTCTTCAGCCTCCCTCTGAGCTGCTTTCTGCTTCTTCTGGATCTTCTCCATGAGCTCAGCCTGGCTTCTTTGCAGAGCGAGCAACAGGGCATTGAACTCCTGAGCGATGTCTGCTAACTCTTTCTCAGACTCTTTCTTTGTCCGTTCAACCAAACATTTGATTTCCTGAATATTCCTGGATTTGGTGTTTTCAATTATTTTGATCTTTGACGTCACACGGCTCAGCAAGCCTTTCTTGTCTCTGAACGCTTGCTCTAACGGGACGGCCAAATGTGATGCATGGTTGTCTTTCAAACACATGAAACAAACACACTTCTGGTCTACATCACAGAAGAACTCCAACATCTTGTCATGCTTCTTACACACCCTGTCCTCCAGGTTGGACACAGGTTCGATCAGCTGATGCTTCTTGAGTGTTTTGACTCTGTGATGAGGCTCCAGGTGAGGCTGGCAGTACGAGGCCAAACACACCATGCACGTCTTCTTGGCCTTGAGCTTCAGATCAACGCAGATGTCACAGGGCACCTCTCCTGGTTTGGCTCTGTCCTCATCCCCATTCACCTTCATGTGGTTGAAATGCTTCAAAATGTCTCTGAACTCAGTGTTGACCTGGAGCTGTGGCTGCTTGCGGAACTTCTTCTTACAGAGGGGGCACTGTATCAGGGTGCTTCTGTCCCAGTACCCTGTGATGCAGTGCTTGCAGTAGTTGTGTCCACATGGAGTAGAGACAGGCTCAGTGAACCCATCCAGACAGATTGAACACTGGAGCTGCTCTTCACATGGGGAGCTGCTGGCTGAGGCCATGTCTACACGAGAGGAAAGGATTTTTATCATTAATATTTTCAATTTCAAACCCAAAAAATTCAAATCAGATAGGTTACTTACATTTCTGGCTAAACATTTCCCTCCCTACTGTAGATCCTTGGTTTCTAAGTTGTGCTTGTTTTTCAAAATCATTAACACTCACACACTTATTACTAATATTATCTAACACAATATGCAGGTCAGAGTCTAAATGCATTGTGTTTTGCAGAGGTCTTGGATTAAATGCTGTTGTACATATATTCTTGTTTGAATTCAATGTGTAACAGTTTGTCTCCAATACGTCTGTCCATACTGTGTTTTTTGCAGTTTACAGTTTCTGGCAACTTAAGTCCTTTTGGTCAAGCAAACACTTGTATAAATAAATCATTTTTTTAAACTATTTTAAATGGTTTGCATTTGTTTTGCCTTGATACAATAGCTTCCAGGAAAGAGTATACAGGAGAACAAAAATAGCATGCAAAAGAGGTCCCTATTACAGTTCTGATGTCAAATATAAATGAATTACTCCATGCAATGCAAACAGGCACACACAATGTGACCACAAAGGGAATCATTGTGGTCACATTAAACTACTGATTTTCCCCACGGGGATTAATAAAGGTCCATCTTATCTTATCTTATCTTATCTTATCTTACATAAGTGTACAGCAACACACAGCTTTAGTTAAGGCAGATCAAGAGTCTCCTCAGTATTTTCACCTCAAATAACATTATGACTCACTTTCACTACTTCCTGTACTTCCCGTGGAAAGTACCAGATGATATGGGTGTTGTCTATCAGACCTAAACTGCACTTCATGACGGGGCACAATTCTCGTATTGGGATCAATGATCTGAAAACTGGATTTTATCGTACCAACCCATCCTGTTTGGTCTGCAAAAAAAAAGCTTTGGAAACTGTTTTGCACTCTACTGTTTCAGGGTGTAATAATCCCTGCATTGAAACTCAAGGAAAACAACACATGAGCTCAACAGCAAACATATTATAAGCAAGTAAATAAGAACAAGCAACACTATCATGACATGTATTATAAGACACACTTATTAAATGCAGCTATACTGGAGCTCATGCTACTGTCAAACAGAGCCCAGATATAGTTCCATTTTTACATAATGTGGTATTATAACCCAATTATTTCCGTCATTCTTATTCAATGTAACCTGGGCAGAGATTATTTTAATTATATTTAAAACAAGAGTATCATAGCACTTGAACCTTACCTGCGGAGAAGTCTGTTGGAACTGACTGATGTAGGGTGGAGGTTCGATGAGGAAATGTACTTTCATTTATCAAATATTACTAGAAGAACAGGTCACTCCAGTTTTATGTTGATTAATGTGACACTAATCTATGCATTCACCGCCCACTCAAGATGAATCATCCACGCATTTAAAAGCAGAACACAGGGGCGGATCTACGGGGGAGCAAGGGGGGGCAGCTGCCCCCCCACTGTAGAGCCTTTTTCCCCCAGCTGCCCCCCTAACTTTTGTGTCCCTGAAACTGTACTTGTAGAAACAAACCTACACTATGTCCATAAGCTTCTCAAGCAACGAAACAAGCAGTTCATTAATTCAAAGTGAATCATTTTAAATATCATCTTAGGCCCGTTAAAAACGTAGCTACGGCCCTGTATTAAACTGCGGAGCGGCGTTCACAGACCGCGGCTCACACCGCTGCAGAGAGCTAACGTGTAAAGTTATACAAGCATTTGTACCAGTGCTTTTTACAAGTAGACTCTTGCAGGCCAGAGTAGCTGGAGTGATTCAACAACAAAAAGACATATCTGAGAAGTGATGAGGACGAACAGAAAGAGGAAAAGGAAAAGAGAGATGAAGAGACCAGGAGGGTCAGAGCAGGAGGAGGAAGCCAGGAGGAGATGAAGAGACCAGGAGGGTCAGAGCAGGAGGAAGCCAGGAGGAGATGAAGAGACCAGGAGGGTCAGAGCAGGAGGAAGAGGAGGAGATGAAGACATTAGTCTAGAAGAAGAAATGTATGTGAGGAATAAAGAGGAAGTGTCAGAAAGAGGGACAGAGGCAGGGATCAGGAGGCGGATGAGACTCCAGCTGGACCACATGGTATGTTTTTATTCTCCTTGCATACATATTCCATCACAGCAGCACAATCTAGCGGCTCTTAGTATTGACAAATATGTATTGAAATGTGTTGCTGCACAGGTCACCTTTAGCTCTCTTAAGAAATGGGTGATGCCATTTGTGTACTTCATTATAACTAAGTACTTTTACTGTACTTACAGTAAACAGAGTTCTAGGGTATCGTGAGTATTGAGCTGTTTTATACTATATGTGAGTTTGTTTGTCTGAACACCTTGTTTCTCTTGTGCATTAAGAACACTTGTGTTAGGCCATGATTTAACAATAAATAGGTTATATATACAGTATAAAATACCACGTACTGTCCGCCCTCCCATGCCACCCTGGCATGACCTCTTGACCCCCCTCTGCCACCCCGTGTAAAATGTTCTAGAACCGCCACTTCATTACCCAGAATGAATGTACAGCATTGTTTTGTCTGAAAGATACCTCTGCCTCTTAATGTTTAATTATAATCTGTAACAAAGAGCAGCTGAGTAAAGAGCTCTGATCTTACTGTGATAGAACCCTTTATAGTCTAAGTGAGCCAGCCCTAACAAGGCCTAACGAGACCTAGCCATACCGAGCGAGGCCGAGCGAGGCCCTGTAGTGGAAATGCGCCATATGTGACCAAGAAACTTTCTCCCTCAGACTCAAAGGGCCCTATTCTGCTCATGTTCAGGTTCATATCAGTATGTAGTGCCTCTACTGTGACATGTCTGCATGCTTTAGTGTTCAAAAAGCTCTTTATTGTTCTCATACTGCCTGTGCTGCAGCACCTCTTTTCACCCTCTGTAGTGAAACCAGAGCCCAGTCTGCTCTGATTGGTTAGCTGGCCGGCTCTGTTGTGACTTGTCAAAAGCTTAGAGATGTCCCGCCCCTTAGCCTATCACCTACAATGTGTTGGAGTGCTAGCCAACAGAATCGTGAGTGTTATAGTGATGTCATTATGTAGCGGGGGTAGTTGTGTGGGAGAGAAACTCCTCCATCTGGATGGAATACAAGGATGTTAGCCTTTGCAGACCATTTCACCATACATGTATAACCAGGTTTGGGGAGTAACGGATTACATGTAACGGGATTACGTAATCAGTATACAACAAAAAGATAACTGTACTCCTTACAGTCACATGAACAAATATGTAATCAGATTACTGGTACATGTTTTAAAATGGCGATTACTAGCAGTATTACAATGTTATAATGCGTTTTATAAACAATAAAATATTATAGGTAAACGTTGTTTGGGAAATATTTTCCTTATTAAAAACATCTTATTGATATATATTTTATCTTGTATCTGCATTGCATTTGATATTGAGGTAATCCAAAAGTAACAGAAAGTAATCAGGTTACATAACTTTTTTACAGGTAACTAGTCATTTTAACGGAATACATTTTTAAAGTCACCCTCCCAACCCTGTATAAAACACACTATAGGAAAGGGAAAACCCAAAAAAACGCAATAGAGCCCCTTTAATAAAGTACAAAATATTCCAAAATAATACAGTAAACTCAATCGTGATGCGTACACTTTTCTTTTTTATTGATTTTGTTTCTTTAAAAGAGCACCTGTTAGATGAATGATGTGACAGGGTACAGTATACCATTTTCTAAAACATTGCATTATGCTTTATATATTGCGTGTGTATTGAATGAAAAGTATATTTTACACCTCTGTTTTATTACTATTATTGTAAGCTATGAAATTATGTCATCATATAATAAATGTATATATGTGTTTGTATGTGTGTTAGACCCATGGTGAGTGTGTGTTAGTGTGGCAGTGCAGTCTAAAGGTATGTAGCCTGTGTGTGTGTCAGTGAATGCGCATCATGAGCCATGGGAAGTATCCATTGCTCTGCATGGCGAAGGTACTGATGAAGAAGTTGAGGCCTGTAGTGATGAAGACTATGATGGTCGCTACGTTGTTCAGGTAATCCAGACGTGCCTGCAGGGTGGCGTTATTCAGGTTCCGACGGCCTGTGACACACACACACACACACACACACACACACACACACACACACACACACACACACACACACACACACACACACACACACACACACACACCCACACACACACACACACACACACCCACACACACACACACACACACACACACACACACACACACACACACACACACACACACACACAAACACATATGCATGCACAATAGAGAAAGACAGTGTTCAAACAACATTTTGACAAACTAAAGGGCTACTATTCATCTCTCCTTTAACCACACCATGCTCAAACACACACACACACACACACACACACACACACACACACACACACACACACACACACACACACACACACACACACACACACACACACACACAGATCAACACCAAACGATCTTCAGCAAGAATGACAATGAGCATTGCATAGGATTTTGTTAAATTGCTAGATTTATTCAGCTCTTACGTACATAATCAAGGAATATCTCTTACTTTTAATACTCGCTCTATTTATGGCATTGAACCACAGAATCCTTTTCTAAATCAAACATATTACACTTTTTTTAACCACTAACCAAACAATGGGGACAGTAAAACTGTTGTCAAAACACATACTTGAACCCATGCAGAGTTTATGCAAACTATGTTATTGCAGAAAATAAAATAATGCATATTTACATAAATATTTTGTTGGTTAAATGGGAAATATTTTAGTTGGATTACAATGTGAATACATTATAAAAAGGATCAAATAAATGAGAAGTGATATTTGATCTTATGCAGAATTGTGAATATAAACTTTGAATCAACATGTTGATGTGTGAGTTTATGAGGGTGTGTCAGAAGTGGAGTCGAGCCAGCAGCCAGCGGAAGAAGCCAGTCCTCTTAGAGCCGAAGAAGCTGGCGAAGAAGTTTATCACTGTGGTGACGAAGATGACGCCTGTAGCAAGGTTGTTTAGGTAGTCCAGACGTTTCTGATTGGACACCACGTTCAGGTCCCTGCGGGCTACAACACACACACACACACCAACACACACACAGACACACTATTTCAAACACTTCAAACACATCCACACACACCTATAGAATTGATGCATCCATACTCACACATACACACTCAAACTTACCAGGCACGCATACAGTAGGCCTATTGCACCCATAAAAAGGCTTTATCATTCAGTCACACTGTCGAGTTTATTCTGACCCTAACTCAACAAATATAATTGACTGTAATGCATCTTATTGGTTTCTAAATTGACGATATTGAATCTTCTTTTCTTTAACTGCTCAGTACCAAGTTATTCAGAAGCCTTCTTTTCGAGAGTTAGACGATAAGATTGATACCACTCATAGTTTTACAACAAACATTTAACTGGAGCCAGCAGCCTTAGCCTAGCAAAAAAACTTGAAAGGTACTTTAAATAATATCTGTTAATAGGTGAGCTGGTAGGCAGCCTTGGTTACACTTGAACACAGCCATGCTAGCTGTTTCCCCCTGTTTTGTGTCTTTTTGCTAAGCTAACTAGCTGCTTCTAGACGGGGACGCATTCTCCCAAATGTAGCCTTGAGGCTTAATGCTGAACCAAACTTTAAGTGTGAATGTGTGTATGTTTGTAAGTGTAAAACCTTAACAGGAGGTTAAAGTGTAGCATTTTGTTTAGCAACTGAATGGATAAAGATGAAAGCTGCTTCTGTATGTGTAGGATTTAAAACATCAGTACTCTGGTGCCTCCTGGTGGTTGTGTTAAGAATGACAGTTTGAACTTTTAAGCTTTCACATAAAAAATATAATGTATGTAAGCTTGAGGCTTTTGTATATAAATGTACGAACAGTGATAAATCTACTGATTGTGTTTCAGAGAATGAAACGTTGAAGCAGCCATCGCAGGAAGCAGCTGCGCTGTGTGCCAAAGGCGGATTTGATGATGTTGACGATGAGGGTGAGGAAGATGATGCCGGTGATCAAATTATTCAAGAAGTTTAACAACCGCTGATAAGAGGACAGGACGGTCATTTCACAACGAGCTGCACTCACACACACACACACACACACACACACACACACACACACACACACACACACACACACAGACACACACACACACACACACACACACACACACACACACACACACACACACACACACACACACACCTAATTGGTCCCCTGGCTCAGTCCATTCATACTATAAATGAAGAAATAGTACAGAAAATGTTTGTAATTGATTAGTACTTTAAGTAGAATAATAAGTCCTGAGGGTATGTGTGTGTGGGTGTGTGTGTGTCTGTGTGTGTGTGTGTGTGTGTGTGTGTGTGTGTGTGTGTGCGTGTGTGCATGTGCGTGCGTGCGTATGTGTGCGTGTGTGTGTGTGTGTGTGTGTGTGTGTGTGTGTGTGTGTGTGTGTGTGTGTGTGTGTGCGCGCGTGTGTGCGTATTTGTGCGCGCGTGTGTGTGTGTGTGTGTGTGTGTGTGTGTGTGTGTGTGTGTGTGTGTGTGTGTGTGTGTGTGTGTGTGTGTGTGTGTGTGTGTGTGTGTGTAAAGAGTTTGAATACATCTAAATCTTTCCCTACTTTGCAGAAACTCCACATATCTGAATTATTCCCTAAGTCACAAGGTCAGTAATGCATCCTGGCAAAGAGGCCGGTGCGCTCCATCCCGAAGACGGTGATGCAGATGTTGCTGACGAAGATGAGGAAGATGATGATGGTTATGGTGTTGTTCAGGCTGTCCAGGCGCTTCTGGTTGGCCTCTTCATTGATGTCTCGCCGAGCTGCAACAAGCATGCACATGTACACACACACACACCAAAAATAACAACAAAACAAAAATAACAAACTACACAGAAGTGGCAGAGAAATATTCCAATGCCTGTGTTTCTTTTCCTTCATGAGTCTTTTATATTCATAGTGGTTGCTTTCAGCTGTTTCCTGACAAAGCAGACCAGAAAGTAACCTGGACTCTCACTGCACTGCGTGTATTTTAAAAGTATATACATAGTGAGTGAATTAGTATGTTATATGATTGGTTAAAAACATGGAGGATGGAAAGTACGCCATATCTTAAGCTTAATGCTGCAATTTGATTGGCTCACCAATGATGATGATCAGGACTCCAGCCACTATCTGCAGGGCCAGGGAGAAGGAGATGAGTACCAGGACAGCAACGTAGTACCTGAAGAGGAGGAAGGAAATATATATGTGTCAATAAATACTATATGATATGATGCATCAGGGAATGTGACGTTATTGATGTCCGTATATATATATATATATATATATATTCTGCAGGATTAATAAACATTCTTTAATTTTAACAGAATTTGCAGTAAACCTTCAGACTTAATATTGCAGATTTGCCCTCGGCCTGAACTCTCTAACACACACACACACACACACACACACACACACACACACACACACACACACACACACACACACACACACACACACACACACATATACACACACACACACACACACACACCTACACACACACACACACACACACACACACACACACACACACACACACACACACACACACACACACACACACACACACACACACACACACACACACACACTGTACCTGTATCCAGCTCCCTGTTCGATGACAGTCTTCATGTGTGTGATGTTAGCCAGGAACAGAGCGATGTCCAACATGCCCTCAGACGCTGACTTCTTCGTAGCATACAGGTTCATGTTCAGATTAGAGGGTGAACCTCCCTGAAGAAGAAGATGAAGGACAATAGATAAAGTAAAGAAAATAAAAGGTCTCAAGGTTTCAAAGGTCATTTATTCAGAAACTAGTTATTCACAACGAACTGTCCAAGAGAGGGCAGCAAAGACCAAGAATACTATCACTTCATACTGCCAGGAAAAAACATTTCTCTCTGATTAAATAAAGTTTGTTCATTGTATTACTTATCTATTCTATAACCACAAGTAAACAAGATACCAATTCAATCTGACATTATTTGTTTCAGGGATCCATCAAGAGAAAATCCATATCATTATTTAAAGATGAAACTCCACGTATATTATTTTAACATTGTAATTGTTTTTTCTTTACAATATATTTAGTCTCAGGAACCCCTCCACTCCACTCTCTTATCTTTGCAGCTCAGAAACAGAAAACTACATTATTATCTATTGTGGCTCATTTATCGTAAGATCTATAATTGCAGCACATTTTCATGTGGTTTGAAGTAGTTTTTGAATGATAAAAAGCTGTGTGTGTGTGTGTGTGTGTGTGTGTGTGTGTGTGTGTGTGTGTGTGTGTGTGTGTGTGTGTGTGTGTGTGTGTGTGTGTGTGTGTGTGTGTGTGTGTGTGTGTGTGTGCGTGCGTGTGTGTGTGTGTGTTAAGAGAAGAAAACCCTTTAACATCATTACTAAAAAGCCATAATGACTCATAGCGCGTCAGGGATTACCAATGGTCCAAATCTCATTAGAGCGCCGCTATAGTGCACAGACAGCAGATGCAGAGATTGGATTACAGAACTGCTGTATGGATTATATACTGTATACATAGATGTCCTCAAATGGATCATTTAACCCGAGGCTTTGTCAGTTGAAACAGAGCAGTCTGTTTTTCTTTAAGCGCCACAGAAACAGAGATGTGTTGAGGGAAGACATAGATCACCTACATAAAGCCAATCATGTGGAGCCTATGGGAACACATTGTATTTCATGGTCTCACTCTGCTGTTATGTTCCATACTGCTCCAAAATAAACAGAACGTCCACACTGCATGAACAGTAATTATTCAACAGGGCAGTTTCTCAGTGTGTACTGCCTCGGTTGTTTCCAGTGTCTCTAGTGTCTTTACAACTCTTCATATGGACTTATTATTTTGACTTTCAATAGAAAGTTAAAAGAACAACAACTCAAACGAGTATCATAAAACAAAAATCCTAGAGGTTAGCGCTTGAAGGCAATACTAACAACTTATTTTAAATTGGTTTTTGATAGGGGGAAATTAGCCCATAACCCTGTATAGTCTACAAATGAAAACTAGAAACTGGGCTAAAACCAGTCACTGGGTAAATGCATGTAAAATATGTAGGAGGGTGGTAGATTGTTCTTCACTCAATCTACAGCCATTTGCCTGGGTTGTTGCACCGTGCACACAAGGAAGCTACATTTGTGGGCAGAGCACATGTTTCTGTGACACCACCATGCTGCATGTAAACACAGTGTTCTTGTGGGCTTCGATCATGTGCCTTGGCTTCTTTCTTTGCTAGCTCTTGCAAAATTGTATGTAGATAAACAATAGTACGACAAAACTACAGGGCAGTTGAGCAGGAGTGTTTACCACCACTTCCTTCTAGCCTGTTAGTTCTGGCTCACTTCCTCCTGAAAGAAGACGGACGTTTGGCAGATTGACTTTGGTACGATGATAACTCAGTGTTATACGAGGTCTATGGCTTATCATTACTGGGCCTTAACTTCTGGAACAAGATGTTGACATCTTCTGATGTTGGTTTTGGACTTTTCGAAAGCCAAAAAAATAAAACATACTCTCTGTTTTATATTTTTGGATAACCTGCACCGTGCAGGATCAAAATGTTTACCCGGAGTTTAATTTCAAGTCTTAATAAGCACATTTCTGTGAACATCCATTTAACCGCCCTTTTTCTGTGATTCCTGGAAATCTTGATTTCATCCCCCCATAGAGTCTATGTAAGAGTACAGTTTGATCCAAACTGGGTTGTTCTCCAAGAAAGTATGAAGCAATTCCTGGAACTGTGAGACTGTCATAACACAGTGAACACGTGTACTGTGGGCTTTTGTATGTTTTTCTGAGTGTGTGAGATACAGAGAGAGAGAGCTATGTATAAAAAATAAAAAAAGGAAAGTCAGAGCTGGATGTGAGTAAGTGGACAGAGAGGGAGTGAGAGAAAAAGCATGTATATACTGTATACTGTATACTGTCCGGGGTCCAACTTTCTAACTTTCTCCTTTGGGAACTTTTATCAACATCAGCCCTGGGCAGGCCGCCAACACACACACACACACACACACACACACACACACACACACACACACACACACACACACACACACACACACACACACACACACACACACACACACACACACACACACACACACACACACACACACACAGCACAATCAAAACATTGGACTGGCCTACTTTACAGTTGTACGTGCCATGTGTGTTCACTTAGTGTAACGTCTCTTTTAAAGGCACTGACTGTGTGCTTATCATGCTTAATCTGAACTTTTCTTGATTTACTATTATTTTGCTCTTTGTTTCACAGGACAGTTAGGGGAGGGATATAACTTTATTTACAGGGGAGAAGTGGTTGCGGGGGGTCAGAGACCAGAAGCTGGGAATTACCGCCGGCCTCAGGGCTACATCAGGAATGTCCAGGGTTGACGACCTGGCTCTGTGCTTTTGAGGAATGAGAACATTTCTGTTTCCCTACTCGTCTGTAAGTAACCCATACATTACAACTTCTTTTTTCTAATCATTCAACAGCTGCGCATTATTAAGGGTCAAACAGAGACAGGATATTAGTGTTTTATCGTCCTGGGCTCACTGGATGTTGTCCAGTCCTCTGGTGGATTTGGGCGTTTCTCTCTTAGGACTGATACTAATCAGCAGTCTATAAAACCACTATAAAACTTTCTTTTCATTGCTTATTGCTTAAATATTAGAAATACTATACACCCGCACTGCACAGAATGACTCATGTCAACACACGATCAAAGATGAATTAGGGACAAGAAAACTGCTGCCCAGCACCTGCAAACAACTTCTGGATGTGCATATGCACAATATAATAATTGATGGCTTAATGGACATGATATTAACCACACTGTTTTGAATAACTTTAGTGTTATGGTTGAAACCTGCATGTACAACAAAAACATTGATCTATGATGCTCAGAAATATGATTATTTGACAAACTGATCTTGCATTAAAGACTCCAAGTTTAACCAACTTGGTGTCCTTAGCAAAATCACAAGCTGTGCACATTTATTGTTTTTTTGTATTTGTTTCATCATATAACTGTATACAACTGAGTGAGTAAAATGCACAGAAGTCTTTTTCCCACTGGTTTTTCTGGACGTATGGTATTTATAAAGTTGACGCTTCTATAAAATCCAGAGTCCTTGTAAAACTTCCATTCCCAAAATCACTGATCCACAACCCTGGGATTGGGCCATATCACATAATGTACACACACACACACACACACACACACACACACACACACACACACACACACACACACACACACACACACACACACACACACACACACACACACACACACACACACACACACACACACACACACACACACACACACACACACACACACACACACACACACACACACACATAAAACACAGATATGCCCATTTGTGCCACCAGCTTACACAAAAACAACTGCAAGTCTACACTTCTAACTGCACATTAACACACACACACAAATATACACTAGACCATAAGGGAGCCCCCCCCCCCCTCAACCTCACAGGAAGTGCTCCTCCCCTGCACTCCTATTGGTTGCAATATTAGCCAATAGGAAGGGAACCCCTACTAGGAGTGGAGCTCTGGTTTTCTTTTAATATCTTGTTCTTTTTTTCACTGTTAGTCCGTCTTTCCATGTGTCTGTCTCACTGCTGGCTTATTTGACTGGGCTTTTTTCCCTTCTGTACGTTTTCCAAGTCTCTCTCTGCCTGAAGCATCATCTTTCTGTTTGGTTTTTATTGGAATGCTATTTAGGGTGAGGGGGCAGAAAGAAAGCAAAAAGCAGATGAAGAGAATCTAGTATATGACACAGAGAAGAAGAGTCAGCATGAAGAGAGGAAGAGAGGCAGTCACAAAGACAGGAGTCTTAAGACATTGTTTATGACTTGCTGGCTAACTGGAAGAAGAACTGTGTCTGAGTCACTACTATTTTGTTGGCCTGTTGCATGAAACTTCCAATTTCTGTAACAAAGACCATGATTCTTTTTAGATGCACAATGACCATTTGCAAAGGGTTTTAAAGGCCAAAACACAGGTCACTTTTACACAAATAACTGATTCTACCTTTTCAAAAATATAACCTTAAAAAGTAGAAACAAATCCCAGTTTTATTGATCTTTTAAAATGTTAGAAATAACTGTAACTGCCTTTTTACAGTAGTTTTAAAGAGGACATATTCTGCTCATTTTCAGGTTCATATCAGTATGTAATGTCTCTACTTTAAAGAGTTCTCTCCTGCTGATGTTCAGGTTTATATCAGTGTGTAGTGTCTCTACTTTAAAGAGTCCTCTCCTGCTGATGTTCAGGTGTATATTAGTATGTAATATCTCTACTTTAAAGAGTCCTCTCCTGTTCATTTTCAGGTGTATATCAGTGTGTAGTGTCTCTACTGGGACATGTCTCCATGCTTTAATGTTCTAAAAGCTCTTTATTGTTCTCATACTGCCTGTGCTGCAGCACCTCTTTTCACCCTCTGTCTGAAACCAGAGCCCGGTCTGCTCTGATTGGTTAGCTGGCCTCCTCAGATATGAGCAGGTGTGTTCCCTATGTCAATGTTTTCAAGGCAAATGTTCAGAGTTAACTGTGTGTTACCAAATGTTTCATTAGAGGCCACACTGATGGAAATGCTGAGGGAACACATCACCCAGGATTGAATTGACCAGTGAGCTCCAGCCAAACAGCACCTCTTAGCATTTTCTGTGTTTGTTTATTTAAGTC